CGGAACATCGTCCGCTGGGGCATGCCGAGACGTCATCTGCAACGGAGATTTAATCAAGTTTGTTGAAGTTGAGTACCATCGAGGTGACTATGCTGAAGGCTCAGATGATAGTGCCATTGATTATGGTTGGAAGGCCACAGCATGGCATAAGATTCTTTCATCACACAATTTTGCTGATTGGCAGCACAGCTTCACTGTAGACACTTATGACATTACAGTAACGGACGATGAGAGATGCTCTTACTTGTTGCCTGAACTGTGAACTGACAATGCCAAGAAGCTATCCCTGGACAAGTTTATGTGCTCTCTTTCCAACCTGAGCCTGGACGATGATGTATTTTACATGAAGTCCACCCCGAATCCTGCAAGCCCAGTGGCGTGGCTAGCTGCCGTAAATGTCAGAGAGAATCTACTACAACTTATCCCTTTTACTGCTGAAATTTCTCACTGCGAGCCAACCTATCCTCCTTGTGTTTTCTCCAAGTACCTCAATAATACTCCAGGTAATTTTATTGATGCTTGTTTCTGTATCATGTAATTAACTGGGAGCACATTAGTTTTATTGTAGACTCCCTCTGTTCACAAATACCCCCTCTGTTACAAGAAGGGAGTATAAGATGTTTTTACTTTTTTCTGAATCGGATGTATATATAGACACATTTTAGTGTGTTTGTTCACTCATTTCAGTCTGTATGTAGTCCATATTGAAATATTCAAAACATCTTATATTTGTGAACGGAGGGAGTATGCTACAATCCTTGCAATATTACAAAATGTTTGCATACTTATAGATTCAACACCTAGAGATGAAAGTAGACTATAACTTATACCCATCGCAATTTCGACACTTCAGTGATTTAGATTGGGCTAGGTAAAGTTAGGATTCAGCCAAAGTTGACTGAGACTAGACATCTTGGTCCGGTCACTATCATGGATGAAAGTGATCACAAGTCCCACGGATTTGATGCATAATGTTGGATGAACACAAGTCCCAGGGATTTGATGCATAATTTTGGATGAACACAAGTTTACAGTTCCACCAGACTCTGTTATCTTGATTTCTTGTTGGTATAACTTGCAGTTTATTCAGGTTAACACTGGCGATAGATCAGAACATGAGTGGATCTTCTGCCTTGTTACAGCCTCTAAAATTGATTTAGTAGTTTGCACTGTCAGATAGCACTTACTTAGGTTTTGGGTACATAGATTCCTCACTAAGCAACCTCTTACGAACATAATACCTAAGCATGATGGCTCATGGACCACAGCCGACCGACCAGCTTCGCTGTCACCCTAGCCTTGTTTAGCAGCAGTCAGCTAGAGCCTCTCGGAGCCACACCCTGTGCAGCCAACCTATAACCGGCCATGGCAAGACAGTCATCACCACAACCTGTACGCACACAATTAATTGCACGCATAGTTCTTATGAAATATCACTTATGTTATTTGGATTCCCCTAGTTATCTTAACTGGATTACTGTGCCTGAATTATTGTTTCAGGACAACACATGGCTGTGGAGGATCCGGGGAGGTAATTTATATATTTCTAGATTACAGAACAATCACTGTTTGATATTTGCTTTCTTCGGGTATCAGCTGGCACATTCCGATGCAGGATCGCTAATCGGGTCACTATTTTTTTTTACCGTTGTATAGGTTGCTTAATCCCACAAAAGGGCACCCACCATCAGAGCTATCGCCTCTAAGTGTTGAGAAATGGCTTAAAGAACATGGTCATTGATGAGTTTAATTCCGGGGATCCTATCTGCAGTCCTGCACGGTAGCCTTAGTTCTAATATTAGCACATAGAGACCCATGTGCAAGCGACACTAATCAGTTTTATGATCTTTCAGAAAGTCTCTATCCCAAACAGGAGTGTTTGCCATTGGATCATGGCCTGACCACTCGCGCAATTAACACAATTATTATACACATTTACCTGTGAAAATTCACATTTTAGCATGATGTGATTCATGTTGCATAACCTGTATCTGCGAAGTTAGAAATTTATACTACATGTTTTATTTATTTGCGAGGAATACTGCATGACTTATTGCAGAGGGCTATACACTACCACTTGAGAGGCCAAAATTCTTGGATTGCTCCTCTGTCATGACAACTTAAACATATTCAAGATGTAAGTTCCGTTGGACACATTTTAACGTTTGAGCAATATTATAGTGCCAATTCATAATTTTTGCTTCATGTCCAAGTGTCCAACAACACAAGACATGTGGACACACTCATAGCTCAGGTCGGTGCATGTACTTGGAATGGTGACTGGCTTGCTTAGGGCTGATAAAACGCTACTCTGTGACTTGGTTGTTATAAAGATCGGTCTCGGGCTGATCCAGACCCATGCTGCGAGACATAGTCGAGCAAGAAGGGATTTGCCCCTCCGACTTGAAGAGATGTCCTCTAGGCCCCTCATGTGATCCGACTTGAATAAAGCATGGCCATGCGACAAAGATCATGAGATAATCCAGTTTTGGAAATCAACATCATAGGGCCAGAAAGAGGCCGATTGGAACAAGGATGACTGAATTGCCTTAATCCTGGTAACACACATCGTGAGGCAAAAGGAAAGGAAGTTGACACATTGTACATGTTCGTCAAACCGGCTTTCATCTTAAACTTGGGAATCAACATGTTTTGCTACGAGCCGCTATTGACTAGTCAAATCGGATTGATATCCGACTTGCGACCAAGTGTAAGTGAACCTAAGGGATCGCGGGCTTAAGGAAGGAACCTATGCGGCCAGATCCGATTTCACTGGTCAGATGTGATTTACTAGGACTTGGATATGGGTTGGGTAGATTTTGGGCTTATGTAGTTCTAGTGGGCTTCATGTGTTGAGCCCAAAACAGACCTCTATATAAGTAGAGGTGGTGCAAGAGGGACAACGCTCTCGAAAGTGTGATCAGTGTGTTGCATAGGATAGGTTTAGCCACCTCTATGCCTAGGCTTTTTTATTGACCTAGTAGTAAGCCGTCTGGCGTTCCTCTTGCACACGACGGACCTGTTAGTAGGATTCGGCTAGGGAGATCGGCCACGTGGAGATGACGCCGGTGGCACGCTTCCCTAGCTCTTCTTCTGCTGTGAGAATAATAAATGACAGGAGCCCAAAAACACCCGCCACCGATTGATTTTGATAGCAGTAGCAGACCCGCATTTAGGCCTGTAAGTGATTGGGCCGGGCCCGCACCTTCAAACAGCCGACGTGATGAGGGGTAGGCGTGGTCATGGCGGCTGGAGCAATGCTTGCAGCATTGGGAGCCAAAGCCATGGCAATGCAGTCCCCAACATCAGACTAGACATGCCAAGATCCACTGGGGACGGAAAGGGGTCTTACGGAGGGGGACGGGAGGGGGTGGCACAGATGTACGTACCCGACGCGTTGGAGGAGGCGGCGGCGTGTCGAAGAGCTGTGTCGCTTCGTTTCGTTTCGTGAGGGCAGCGACATGTTTTCTGAACTGCGTGGCTTGGGAGAGTTTTGGTGGGGATCGAAGAGCTTCTCCCGGACAAAACCTGCATGCCAAACGGGCCGTCGGGGATTTTTGAGAGTTTCAAGGTTTTGTCCCCTTGAGGGTCATCCTCTCAAAGCCCCTCCAAAACCTCTACCGAACGTGGCATGCAGGGATTAGGTCCACTAGGGGATCTGATCCTCTGTAACCGTACATAGCCTTAAATTCTTGTGTTCTTCATATAGAAAAAAATGTACTATTGCTCGTACGTAAAAGACATGCCATCTATGCCGTGTCTATTTAATTTATGTGCAAGTGCCTAACTGTTCTTTGAAGGTTGATGATAACTTCAAGGTTGTAAAGGTAAAGCTGAGCAAGGAAGATCTAATAGAAATCTCGGCTGCTGTCCCTGCTGGCGACGTGGCTGGGTCGAGGGTCATGGGAATCTTGGAGCCTTATTCTTGGAGGATTGCAAACACTCCACCTCAAAAGTAGCCATTTTACATCATCACTTGCAAATCCGAGAGCATCTCACCGTGTTATGCTGCATTTGTTTCGACCTTTCCGGTTACATACATTTGAGGGGGGAAATGTGAAAGAAACAAGCTCGTCCATACTCAAGAACAGGGGAACTTAGTACCTAAACATACTCATAGTTCTCTGTCGACGTATCAATTACTACACATGATAAAAAAAAGAGTTGAATTCAAGTTGAGGTTTGCTGGGTATCATTCATTCAAAAATGGTACTGCTGTAATATTTCCACACATGATTGAATGAGATTACTGACAGAATCGACATGCAACTTCCTGTAGTCACACCAAAGTCTGGATATGTATGTTCAACCTCACTAGTAGTGCCACTAAAAATATTTTACTGCATGTGCTACTTTTGGCTCCTCAGGTTTCTAGTTCTTTTTACCACGCACCCTTGTGCTACCCTGTTACTTTCCATTTACTGTTCATCTGTTGCTACTTCGTTACTTTCCATTTACTGTTCATATATATCCCCAGCTGGTTTCTAATTCATATCTGCCACGATATCTTTTACAGGTTAACCTGTGCTGATCTGCAACTGCTGAACTTTACAGGCATGCAAGCAACGTAGAACGACAAATTGCAATGGACAAGTAGGGCTGCACGGGCGCCCATGGTGTCCCTTTCAGGAGGAACCTTGGGGGTAGCTGACCAATTCCTAATGGATCTCAAGGCTTGCTGTTGCTCGTGCACGCACTTCCGAGCATCGTTGGGGATCGTGCTCAGCAGCGGCCGGGCCGGCGATGATGCACTGGGGATGTGTGCCCACCAAGAACATATGTGCCCTCCTCCCACATGTTTGAGGGAGCCTTTGGGTTCCTGGACCGCCTCCCCAAATCCTGATGTTGCTGCTGAAATCCCTGGACCAAAACCTTGATGCACTTGAAAGCAAGGCATCCGCCGCCCACGCAGTACTGAAGCAGTCCATGATTATTTGATGATTGATTGGTTGCCTGTGCTTATGCTGTTCTCTGATTAAACTATGAATCTGCAATGCAAAATGGCTCTGCAACATGGTACAGTACCACTCTTTGGCGCTTCGCATCTGCTGATACATTTGCAGGAAAGCTGTTGTTTATCTGGAACCGGCTCCTCTACCGTGCCCTATGATATCATCACTGTTGCCAGGAGCCAGCTCTTGGACTCTTCTGAGGTAGGCACTTCATCCAGATTCTTTTTCTTTGCTGCAAGGCACATTCTACATCAAAAATTTCATTATATAAGACTACAGGCCAAGTTCAGGTACTCCCATGACCCTGATTGTCAGAATCAGCAGCACAAAGCAAGTGTCAGGAAGCAAAAGAGGGGGCATGCCTGGATTGCAAAAGGGCAAAGAGGGGAATAAAGAAAGAATGGAAAGCAAAGGAGGAAAAAGCCATGCAGTGATCTTTTGAGAGGGCAATTGGCATGTATATTGGGGTTTGCTCCTACTAATTCCCGTAGAGCTTTTCCTGGAAAGCCTGGCTGGCTAAGTATATCCAGATCGACTCCCTTTGTGTGCATGCTTGCCGTGGGATATAATCCCTAGGTTTATTCCCAAGCAAGTCCAACTTTATGTCCTTTATCCACCACATCTCGCCGAGAATATTCTACCATTAGGCTTTTCATCTTTGGCATGCATGCCTACTACCACATCTTTTGCCAAAAGCATTTGGTTGGGATCCATTCAAAATGCTGGATGCAGGCTCTAGTTACTAGTATGTCAACCATATGTATGTAATTTGCTACCAATAAAGGTCTAAACATCCTATACCGATGTGTGAGATTAAAGACGCCTACAGGTTAATGATTTTTTTTCTTCCTAAATCAAGATAAAAAAGAAAGGATTCAGATGTTTTTTCCCCTGAGGGACTTGATTATCACATTGCGGACTGATCAAGAAATATTACTATAGGGCTAATCCAGTATGTAATTTCTAGTTTTAATTCTGCTATATAATGCTGAGCTGATCTCGTATATAATTGCTAGGCATGCAGAACGAACCGTCTGGCCAGAAGAAGATGAAGACATTGTTTACTAATTGCACTGGGAGTAAAAACGAGAAGATGTGATGAGGGCGACAGTGCCAGTGTGGGACACATGAAGATGATGCTTGTCAACGCACGGCAATAAAGAAGCTCATCTGGTCTTTTTCATTCTTTCTCAAACTATGTGCTCGATCAATTCCAGGGATTGCACATGCATGCATATCGCCGGCCAGCCAGCCAGCCATGGTCCCAGGGATCAGGCTCGGACTCCCATATGGCCATATGCTTGAGCTAGCATGACACTATCTCAGATGAATGATGATCATCATTGTGCATGCATGCATGCATGCATGCATGCAAGCAGATGCAGCGAATACATGCATGCACTCTTCTTACCACATCCAACCAGAGTGCTCCCACCCCGACCCATCTTCTCCTCTCCCTTGTTGACTAGAACTACCATTGGATTTGGTGTTGGAATAGAACACATGTTCAGTCAAAGTATAAAAAATATATCCGCAAAAAAGTATATAAAATGTAAAGACACCACAAGGTAACAAAATTAAACTAGACGAAGCTGATAGCATAGACATGGGATCATGAGATGTGGTTAGAGTGGCTGTTAGTGATTGTTCACCATGGCGGGGTCTTTTTTCTTTATTATGTTTTTTATTTTCTTTTTTGGCCATGTGTATCCTTGATGCTTTTGGACATTTTGTTGGTACAGAGCGCGGATGTAATTGGTATCTTCGTGATATTAATATATTTCCTTTGTCGAAAAAATGGGATCACCAGCGTGCATGGCGGGGTTGTCTAGCTAGACCGTACTGGCTGTGTCGGGTGGTTGGAGACGTTGAAGCTTCGATGGGCTTTGCCGCTGGCAGTATTACATGTCTTTTCAATTAGTACTCCTTCTGCCTCAAAATATAAGATGTTTGTAAGGAGTACATTATTAATGATTAAGGCGATTATGGTAATAAAAAGCGTCTTATATTTATTTACACTGGGAGTACATATTAATATCAACAAAATATAAGGCGTTTTCTTCTCATTCATTAGGAGCTCTAGAGTTCTTCCTATACACATATGCTTGAACTTCGTGGACTTAATTTTAACAATATTTTCCCAGACTAGCAGAAGACGAGAGCATTATGGTGTAACCTATCATGTAGAAGGCCAGAATCAGCAAAACCACTGACTATACATTTGTTCTTTCTCTACATCCCCCTTTGTGCGGTTGTTACAAAATTCATGTCATGAGCATCAATAGATCAGGCCTGCATACACTGAAATGATCAGCGCTGGATATATTTATCTGCTGCTATTCTGGGCAAGAGCATTAATTTGTTGGACCTGCAGTGCAGTCAGAGATGGCCACGGAAATTGTAGGAAGGGCTAAAAAAGGAAGAGCTAAAACAAAAAGGCCCAGAGCCCACTGTACATCTCATTGATGTTCCTCTTTAAATTTTGATTTTTACCCAACTTCATGACCTAATTTTTACCACTACATATTTTGGCCTTAAGTTTACCTGCATGGTCTATTTTTTGTAGGTGTTAAGATCTAGAAAGCCAGTGTGTGTGTTCTTAAAAATCAGATCAGGCATCAAGTCTTGTCTCTACCCTCGCCGGCCTTTCTTTTCTCCGCTGGCTTTGATGTGTGATCGAACACTTAATTAAGCATTCTTTTCCTTACCAACATTTCTGGTTCTGGAGAGGGGCCTGGTCCTGTTCAATTCCTTGCTTGTGGCTTTAATCTTTTCCTTCTTTTGTGTATCAAGTGCAGGGAGAGAATCTGATGGCCCCCACTGATGGGAATTTCGTGTCCCTTTTCCTATTCTCTTTGGCTCCGTGGGCTCCTCTTCTGCTGGTTGGTTGGATCTAATGCAGATGTACTGAACACTGGTCATTTCTGTTCAACCTTTCCTCCTGTGTGTGTGTATGTGTGTTTACAAAGTAAATTACCCTGCAAAGTGGTGCAGTAACTTTGCAGATTTTTATCCATCCACACAACCGCCAACACCTGGTGAGGAATCTAGTTCCTATTTGCATTTCCACTGCTTAACTATTGCTGTTGAAAAACAATAGTTTTCAGCGGCTTAAGCCAAATCATGCGTGTTCAAAATAATGACCCTAATCGATATGCCTCTTGTAAAGTTTATCAATATTTGTATCTCAAGAAAAATGCATGTGAACAACAGAGAGGTTCCAGGATACACTACCAATCATCACACGGGGGCCCGGGCCTAAAGGTAACAGTAAATGGACACTGGCAGGAGAAATGACTAAACCGGCCCACACCTAGATGCCAATAGCTGAGCTGACTAAATATCAGATTTCAAAAACAAAACGTCACCCAAAGAATATATACAGTAAAGGGGTGTGTCTACCTTATTTATGACAAATTTCAAATTAGTAAAATATATCTCTAGGATAAACAAGAAGAAAAGTAGCTCTATTCTAGCTGAGAAATACTACGTCTCATCTAACTCTTGGATTTTGCGCGGTAATTCGTATGGATTTTTTTTAAAATTTTTTGTTTGGTTAATCAAGTGGTGTAGTAGTAGACGAGACTTTGTTAATTATCATCATCTAGAAGAGAATTAGCAAATTCGTATAGTAAAACATTTCCACACTGTTGAGTATTATGTTTAGTTAGGAAATACGAGATAGACTAGGATATGTTCCGGCTTGTCTTGTACTCCAAGTTAGTTATTATACTCCTATATATATGCGCACGAGACTCAAACAATATATCAACTATTTCACCAATCCTCTCTCTTCTAACATGGTATCAGTTACCGGGTTCTAAACCCTAGCCGTCGCCGCTTCCGCACCCGCGCGCCGCCCCCGAGGCGGTCGGCCTCCATGACCGTCGTCGGGAGCCGTGCCCCGTACCTAGGGTTCGTCCGCCAATCGTGTTGACTAGCTGCCCTAGAGTCTTTTTCCCGAGTCCTTGCTCCGGGTTTTTTCGCTCTCTCACCGGTTGTTTTGATCGACGTTTTTTCTTTTTGGTTTTTCGATCTATACTTGATCGGTTTGCGTCGCCTGCCGCCGCCGTCGACCCCCGTGCACCTCTACTCCGACACCGGCGCGACCGGTTGGCCTATTCACTAACCCGACGACCTCGCGCGACAGGCGGCCCCTAACGGCCGTAGTCCGCGCGTCTCCTCGCCCGTCGCCCAGACCCGGCAGCCCCTCACGGCCGTCGTCCGTGCGTCGGCCCGCTCGTCGATCTATGATACGTCTCCAACGTATCTATAATTTTTGATTGCTCCATGCTATATTATCTACTATTTTCGACATTATTGGGCTTTATTATCCACTTTTATATTATTTTTGGGACTAACCTATTAACCGTAGGTCCAGCCCAGAATTGTTGTTTTTGCCTATTTTAGGGTTTCGAAGAAAAGGAATATCAAACGGAGTCCAAACGGAATGAAACCTTCGGGACCGTGATTTTCTCAACGAACAAGACCCAGGAGACTTGGACCCTACGTCAAGACACAAAAGAGGAGGCCACGAGGTAGGGGGGCGCGCCTCCCCTCCCAGGCGCGCCCTCCACCCTCATGGGCCCCCTGTTGCTCCACCGATGTACTCCTTCCTCCTATATATACCTACGTACCCCCAAACGATCTGATACGGAGCCAAAACCCTAATTCCACCGCCGTAACTTTCTGTATCCATGAGATCCCATCTTGGGGCCTGTTCCGGAGCTCCGTCGGAGGGGGCATCGATCACGGAGGGCTTCTACATCATCACCATAGCCCCTCCGATGAAGTGTGAGTAGTTCACCTCAGACCTACGGGTCCATAGTTATTAGCTAGATGGCTTCTTCTCTCTTTTTGGATCTCAATACAATGTTCTCCCCCTCTTTTCTAGAGATCTATTTGATGTAATCTTCTTTTAGCGGTGTGTTTGTTGAGACCGATGAATTGTGGGTTTATGATCAAGTCTATCTATGAATAATATTTGAATCTTCTTTGAATTCTTTTATGTATGATTGGTTATCTTTGCAAGTCTCTTCGAATTATCAGTTTGGTTTGGCCTACTAGATTGATCTTTCTTGCAATGGGAGAAATGCTTAGCTTTGGGTTCAATCTTGCGGTGTTCTTTCCCAGTGACAGTAGGGGCAGCAAGGCACATATTATATTGTTGCCATCGAGGATAACAAGATGGGGTTTTCATCATATTGCATGAGTTTATCCCTCTACATCATGTCATCTTGCTTAAGGCGTTACTCTGTTTTCATTAACTTAATACTCTAGATGCATGCTGGATAGCGGTCGATGAGTGGAGTAATAGTAGTAGATGCAGGCGGGAGTCGGTCTACTTGTCTCGGACGTGATGCCTGTATACATGATCATACCTAGATATTCTTATAACTATGCTCAATTCTGTGAATTGCTCAACAGTAATTCG